CTCCCAAACTTGATTCTGTTCCATTCTTTAATTTCTCCCTTCAAGATCTGCAATTTCTTCAGAAATTTCTGACCTTCCCAACATAGGTTGTGGTATGTGGGTAACCCACCACTCCTTAACCTTTTCTTTGAATGCCACATATTCTAAAATCTAAAGGGAATTGAACCTCCAAAATTGGATCTTTGAAGCAAACAAATTGGCCAATGATCTGAAGTAACTAGAGGCAATGTTTTTCCCATCAAATTCAGCCAATGTTCTTCCCAGTAAAGAGACACAAAGAATTGTCCAGTCTAGAGCATATAGGGTTAACTTGAAGATTAGACTGAGTAAAGCAAGATTGACCTAACGGGATGTCCCTTAACTCATGATCCTCAATAAAGCTATTAAATCTCCTCATGCTTGAGGTAACCATTTGTCTTCCACCATTTGATTCCTCCACAAACCTGATTACATTAAAATCTCCTCCTAGGCACCATGGTCCCTCCCACAAGCCTCTAATATCTGCTAATTCTTCCCACATTACATTTCTTTCCCTATAAGAGTTTGGACCATAGACATTGGTGAGGACCCATTCAAATCCATCCTGGGTGTTCTTCAACTTGACCGAAACTGAGAATCTCCCAACTAATTCTTCACTGCACCTGAACATTTCCTCCTCCCAAGCTGTCATTATTCCTCCAGAGGCACCCCAAGCTGGAGCATAACTCCACTGAATGTCTCTCTCTCCCCAAATACTTCTTATCCACTTCCTATCTACCTCCTGAATTTTGGACTCCTGGATCAACACTAAGTCCGGTTTCTCTTTCTTCAACAACTCCCTAATCAGCCTTCTCTTTGTAGCACTTCCCAAACCCCTCACATTCCAGCTGATGACCTTCATTGACCTAGCTGAGATTATCCTAGAGCACCTCTTCCTATAATCCTCCTTTTCTTCTTCCTCCCCTGGCACTAAACTCTTTGTCCCCTTCAACATCATTAATAAGCTTCTCTACTTCATTCAGTTTTCTCCTTCTTCTACCTCCTCCCACTTTTCCTTTTTTTGTTTGAGTGCTCACCTCCTTAGTTTTCTCTACATTAAACCCCATTCTACCAGCTAGATCCATCACCAGATCTTCTTCCTCCTGTATCCCCTTTCCCCCAAAATACCTTCTTCATCTCTGATTTCAGTTCCTTGTTCTTTGCTCACAACATTCTCACTTTTTCCTAATTCTGTTTTTTCTTTGGCTTTCTCTCCCTCCTTCCTACTTTCTCCATTTCTTATGCTTTCCCCTGACTCCTTTATCTCCTTTCCATGTTCTATCTCTGAGCCTCCCTCCAAGCCTTCCCTAAAACCTCTCACAACGGCATCAGAAGGATCCATGGACCTTTACACAACAGGGATAGGATTTGGGTTGTCGACAAAAGCATTGGAGGAGAAATCAGTAGCAAAACTGAAATCACTAAGTTTACAAGGATTACCAGAAATCAAAGGAGGATCTTGTTCGAGATGTTGGACTTTCTCAGATTCCTTGTTGCCCTAAAACGGGTCCTGGAAGCCTATCAGACTAAAGCCAATTTTCTCTGTTTGGTTGCTTCCCTTAGTTGCATCATCCTGTTCTAACCATGGTTCAGTGTCCCTAACTGGTGTTTCCTTCAAAGTTTTAGTTCCCCTGCTCAAACACCATCTGATTCTCCATTTTTTGCTTCTCAGCTGAGGAAGATCCCTCAACTACTATTTGGTTACAAGAAGATCCCTGCTGATCCTGGATCGGATACCTTAGGCTTGCATCATTTTGCAATTGCCCTACCAAACAATCTTCAGCCTGAGTGTTGGACGCCTCATGCCAAACTTTAGCCCCTGTTCAAGCAACTTATTTTCTTTAATATCAGTACACACCTCAATCAGAGTGACTCACTAACTTTCTCCACCTCAAACAGAGCACTAATACGCATATCCTCTTTGTCCTCCAAGCTAACTTGGATAGTTTCGTCAAAACTTCCAAAACTTGAGTCATCATCATACAAGTTCTCTTCCTCAGAATCATCGCAGCTAAGCCATCGGCTATCGTCGTTATCATCCCCTGAACTTCCTTTGATCTGGCGTATCTAGGGTTAGGCTTGTCATGTATCGGTTGACGATGCTCCCACTCTAACTGGACCGAGCATCTCAAGTTGTTGTTATTCGAACTCAGTGGGGACAATGATACACCCACCTTAGCATCTACCATCGTCCCCCCTTCCACGACCCCCCACGTGACTTTTAAGTTATCACGTGAGGTCGATTTAGGAAATAACCCAACCCTGCGGTCCCCTGCAATTAATGAGTTTTTTGAGCCTAATGACCACTTTCCCGAGTATATAACTTCCTTATCAGGAAGGATTGCATTAAAACTCAAATCTTCTCCAATCGTTCTCCCTTTCTTCCAAAGAAACAATTAAACTTGCGATGCTATCCAAACCTTCCTTCACAGAAAACTTCAATCATTCTTGGAATCCTCTCCAACTTACACGCATGTACCCTCAAAGTAGCCACATGAAGGTCAGACAAATCCAGCTATTGTAAGGATCCTCGCCATAAAACAACAATCTGGATTAAAAAACTCATCTGTCCAAAGATTGAACGAAAGTCCCACCAATTTCAGGCTAATGGTCTTGCAATCTACTTCCACCTAGTTACAGGACAGATTCCAATTTTCTACCGTAGCTACTCCCTCTCTAGTAGCAGCTCTGAACAGATTCTCACATCAGCTACCCATATCTAACATCACTGCATTTTCACCAAAAGGACGAAGAACAGCCCTTTCCATCACCGAAATATAGGCCATTAAATCCTATAAGATTCCTCCCCAATTAGTCAACCTTCCTATCCAATCTAACCATCATTCTTTTTCTCCACTCCTCCATGCTTCCTTCAATCATCAATTTTGAACATATGGAACTACCGCAAATACCTCCTTCGCCTGTCAATTTCTTCACATCGTTAGTATTCTCAGACGATTGTTTCGACTCTAGGATAATCATAGGATCCTTCCTCCTATCTGCTCGGTTCTCCAAAGACCACAACCTCTGTTCATAATCGTCCAGGGCCTTCGCAAACATCACCCACCCTTGTTTTTCTTTTCCAGCCAAAATATAGATTATTTGCTTCTTACCAGGTCAGAACATTTCTGTCAATTGAATAAATTCTCCCATGTTATTGTTCTTCTTCTCCACAAAAAACTTTTTCTTTTGCAGACATAGTTCCCCTTCCCATCCAATCTCCGTGATGGCAAATACAATGCCACCAATGAACCCTTTCAGCCAACTTGAAGCTTCCCTTCTTAACACTACTACCAATCTTTTATCTTTCCTGATTTTGATCGCCAAACTACCACCTGTCTCTTCTAACAGGAATCTTAAATTTTTAAAAAAGATAGAGACAAAAATTATTAAAAACATAGAAATTTTGTAAAAAAAAAAACATTTGGGTGCATCTTTAATATTATGTATTCATCATATTAAACAAAAAAAAAGTGTATTTTTATTAATGATAGAAATAGAATTAAAAACTGAACTACTTAAAAAGAAATTTGTTTTTGCATCTAATTAATGCTCCATGGTCCATAGGGAGGCAAATTAGTTGGGGTTAACTTGAGCTCAAATTGACCTAGCCCATAAATTTATACAGGCTAGCTTCAATTTTCAGTCCTCGACTTGCACCTAAGCCTAGGTTCAAAAATTCAAGCTTTTTTATTTTTCGGGTTGGACCAACCCTATCCCTTAGGTAGTTAAAGTCAAGCCTGATAATATACATACAATCATAAATACATATATAACACATACTTGCATACATGCATGTATATACTATATACAACCATACATATGCATTTTGACAAATTTTGTCATGGGGCTAATTGATAGACCCAAGTCCAAGACTAACCCATCTTTCAAAAAAAAGTCCAAAGCTAACCCAAGTGCATCAAATTTCAACGCAAGTTGGAGATTAGGCCCAAGTTAAACTGATTAGGCTTAACTTTGGTCTGAAGCCTTAGATCCAATGCTTATGGTTGGGTCTGGGTTAAAATTAAATTCAGCCCAACCTACTTGACTTGCACCATAATGGTCCAATCGTTTGGGTAAGTGAGTTAACCAATGATGTCATAATTAATTAATAAAAATTTAAAAATATAGAAAATTTGGAGATATCTAAGATATTATAAACTTATTGTATCAAACAAAATTAAGTGTAATAAACAAGAATTATTTTTAGAATTAATTATGCAAATGGGATAAAAAAATTAAATTTACCCAAAAATGCGATTGCTTTTTTTCAAGTCAAATAGGCCAGCACATGATGTCATAATCAAATAATAAAACTCAAAAAATAGATAGAAATAAAAAATATAAAATTTGTCCACATCCCTAATATTAAATAAAAATATATATGATAAATAAGAAGTATTTTCATTAACAATGAAAATGAAATATAAAATCTAAATACACCAGCACACCATGCTTTTATTACTTATCCTTTTTGTATGGTCTAATAAGGATATTGAAATCATTAATGTTATCTTAAATTACAACGTTCAACACACGTGTATATTTACTAGTGTAAGTAAATGAGTGGGTCAGGTAGTTCTGCCGACCTATACTAAGGATGCATGGCATGTTGTACATACTCAATCCTTTTTCATTAATTAATAAGTCTAATGTTCATCATCATCTAAGCCTTATCCCAACTATATGGAGTTGGCTACATGAATCCCATTCCACTATTCCATTCTGTTCAGTGTCACATCCATTGTTAACAAAGTTTAATGCTACTTATAAGAAAAGAAAGAAGGAACTAATTCTGTAGATCATTTTTGGAGCTAAAAATGATTCTTTCATCTATTCAGTAGATATATTCATTAAATTTATCATTTGTGTTGTCCATGAAGTAGAACCAATCACAATTCATAATCCGGCAATGGAAGGGAGAGTTTCACAAAATGTGGTGGAATATTAAGACTCAATGACTTCATGCTCAAAAGATGTACCTTTCTTCCAATAATGTGTCGATTAAAGGAAATAAACCTCGTTTAAAATCCGTTCCAAGAACATGTTTCAAGGCAACTAGCAATTCCTGCATCACAAATCCCATTTATTAACTAATTTTTTTATAGAAAAGGAATTTAGGAGATGTAATTGGCAATACACAAATCACTCACCTTTCGAATAGAAACAGAGTCAGGACAAGTAACGAGCAGATTTACAATGCTTTTGCATATGCTTTCTTCATGTGGCCTGATATAGTCAGCACAACTCTTCAGCAGGTAAGTTAAAAAGGAAACTGTCTGCAATAAACAAAGAAAGAAAATAATAGTCAGCAAAAGAAAAAAAAAAAAAAAAAGAACAATGAAGACACAACTTCAAGTGAAGTAATAGTCTCATGTATTTTTAAGTTTTTTCTTATTGTTCAAGTCAAAAAAAAAAAGTATTATGTAATGAGCTTTGTATATGATAATCTTTTTGTAAAGCAGGGTGTGGAGTTATAGAATATGAAGGTTTGTGCTGAGGACCCCACAACTCCTCTTAAACCTTACCTAGAAAAAACATCAGATGTGCTAAAAATAGAATACCCTTGCCAACTCATCTTTGTTTCCTTCAGTTCACAGGTTACCTAGATCCAGGCTATGAGAACAAGTATTTGAAGTTTTGGCCACCCTCAATATAATCGTTGAGAACTTGAGACAGTCCAGTTCCACTCATATAGGTCCCCGTTTCAGCCCTTAGACCAGATAAAGCTCACTTACACTGCCAAAAATTAAAGCACCCCAAATACACACTTCATTTTCATTGGTATTTCCAAAATCCCAGTCTCTTCCCCACTAATTAAAAGACCCCCATTTAAAAAAAAAAGAAAAAATCATTCAAATACCAACGAGCATTAAAGTAGCCTTTTTAATCTTTCATGAAAAACCAGCACCATCCACACATCGCCCTTTTAGGTGTGAAGTACCATAATTGAACACACTTGCTATTAGCAAGTCATCTTCAACCTTTTTTTGGCAGTGAAATAAAATTTGTTAAAAATAAAAACAAAGTAAAAGAAAGGTGACCAATAGTTGCTTGAGAGAAGAAACAAACAACCCCCCAAAAATGAACCAACTCCTTAATAATATATCCCAATAACCAACCCAGCAAAACTTGAGACAATCAACCACTCCCAACAACCCTAAAACAAGAAACAACACAAAAGCCCATCAACATGGACCCCAACTTAAAATCACCTTACCCAATGCACCAGGCATGAAGCGTAATAAATGCTACAGTAATGTGGGTGTTTGGGAAGAAAGGAACTTCAGAACTTTTGAAAACAAAACCAGGAATACCGAAGACCTGATCCCTCACATTACTTTCTTATGCAACATTTGGGCTATTAATGCTGAAGATTTCTAAGTGAGGCCGATATCTCCCCCACTACCCCCAATCTCCAGATTTGGAAGCCTAACCCAAATGGCATGTTCACTACCAACTCCTTTTTCAAAGCTCTAGCTTCGGATGGTCAGGACACCACCTTCCCAGCCAGGAAGGTTTGGTGATCTCATATTCCTCCCAGAGTCTCCTTCTTCATTTGGGAGAGTTATTTAAAGAAACTAAACACTTGTTATGTGTTACAGAAGAAGCTCAGAGGCAGATGTGTCTTTCTCAAAAAGAGGCAGATGTATCTCTCCTCACATCTGCCCCATCTCCCTTGATAATGGAGAGACAGTGGAGCATTTATTCCTGCACTGTTCATTAACAAGGAAGATCTGGTGTTTCTTCCTCAACTTAGGGTACAACTGGGTCTTTCCTGAACAAATTCTGGATCTTCTGCAACAGCGGCATAGCAAAGGACTAGGAAGCAGGGGTAAGATTTATTGGAGCACGGTGATCCATGCAGTAATGTGAGGTGTTTGGGAAGAAATGAACTTCAGAACTTTTGAAAACAAAACCAGGAATACTGAAGACCTGATCTCTCACATTACTTTCTTATGCAACATTTGAGCTATTAATGCTGAAGATTTCAAAGGTATTTCCCTAAATGACCTTCAGAGGAATTTAGCAGAAGTCCTTTACTCCTCTCCTGTGAACGTTTGAGTACAAACGTTCTGTTCTAGTGAGGACGATCTGACAACTCTAAGTTTTGACGGTAGTGCCCAAGGATCTACAGCTCAAGCAGGAATTGGAGGAGTAATCCGTGGGACAGGGGGGAACATCTTTTGGGCTTTCAGTGGGCCGATTGGGAGAGCTGATGCTACCAAGGCAGAAATCTTAGCCACTCTTACAGGTCTCCATTATGTCAAAATATTAGGCCTCTCCACTCTTTCCATCAAAGGTGACTCTGCTAATACAATAAATTGGCTAAGACAGAAGAGTGGGGTCCTTGGAGGCTTGCCTATCTGCGGGCCAAAGCTAGAAATATTTTGGCCTCTCTGAATGTGAAGTTAGTTTGGATTCCCGGGGAACTAGACACTTTATCTGACAGCAAATCAGTAGCCCATAGAGTTTCTATGTTTTCTGATACTTCTTAGCCTTCGTAGTTCTGTTTCATCCCCTAAGGCTCGTGTACTCTGTTAACTTTTCTCCGTTAACGTTTAATAAATCTGAGTTAACATTTCTGAAAAAATAAATAAATAAATAAATGCTTACCATTCTGGAATACTTAAAACTTCTGATAAAACCTCTGTCAATTATGAGTTATGACCTACAGAAGCCTATAGCTCAGGAAATCGCCAAATAGATCACTCCCATTTGAGAACCAACTCATCATCTTCCATGTTCTGCAAACAAAACAAAACAAATCCTCCACCAACCAATCTAACATCAACTGATCTGGATATCCAAGACACCACACTTATGGTGACAACCTAACAATGAACTCCTCAACCAGATCAGAACCTATCACAACCAAAGATCTAACAAATCTAATCTTTTCCATGATCTTCTATCATTCTTAAATTCGACTTTCCATACACTGCCCATCTCTCTGTTCTTTTTAATTTTTCAAGCTTCCATCTACCCTTCAATTGTTGTTCATTGCAAACAAATGCAAAATCCGATTGGTGATTGAAACTTGAAAGGCTTAATTTCTTTGCTCCAAGCCACACTAGAGGTCAGTTATCTAAGTTGGTAAAATCTCTACTGTATTTTGAGTACGTGAAAACTTATGCTAGATGTAAATGCATTAAGAAAATTTACCTCCCAATTCTTCTCCATTCCCCTGTTGCCTGAGATGGTTTTCCGGGAGGAAGATAAGACCCTTAAATATATTTATCTCACATTCGATTATCTTGAGCCTTTTTTTGTTTGACATTAGTTGATGGTTTTCTCCAAGGATTTGATTCTAAACAAAGTTTAGTATTACAATTTTCAGGTGGTACGTAATAAATGTTCACAGCATAAGGAGTACCTACCTTAACCTGCGCCCCCTTTAGTTCAATGAAGTGGTTCTTTGACTGGGGAGGAACCTTTTCGGGACCTGGAACAGATATTGCCGCAACCATCAAAGGCAACAGATGAGGAATGTTAGTTTGAACAAGCCTCCCATACAGCTGAAAGAGGAACATAACCACCAGCGGGCTCTCTGTCACAATCTTGAATGACCGAGTGCTGGGGTTAAGTTGTCCTGCACCAATGTATCCAGTGGCGACTTGACCCGAACCATCAAGTGACTTATTATCTTCTCCACCCGGAGGATCATCAAAGAAGTAGTTTACAGTCAATCTAAAGTTCTGGTATATTTTACAAACGAAGTCAATGAACGGTTGGACCTCAGTCTCAAGGCTTGGGCGGAAATTCCGTAGGAGGTCAAATATGATACGGATACAAATTAGGCCATTCTCTTCGTTGTCCAATGTCAGAACTTGCAGAGCGACCTTCAAGAGATCCTGAACAAAGGGGCGGAGAACCTCACTGTGAGGGAGACGATTAAGAATCTCAACAATGACATTTCTAAGCTTGTGCTCAGCGTTGTCAGTGAACTGAGGCGTCGTAATCTGTGTGAGAATCATTGAGAAGGCACGAAAGTAACATTTGAGGAAGTTTAAGTATTCCGCTGTGTGAGCAATCTCAAGGCTGTCCCGGACCTCCATTGCCATCTGAAGCCTCGTCTGAATAGCTGGTTTCAAACAAAACGGTCATGGGACAACAACAATAATCTCGGATAATGAAAACAATACGAGACAAGAAAGGAGAAAATCATAATTGAAGAATTTACAAGCATAAACTATATATGAAATGCGGTCAAATATGAAACTTTTGGGAGAAGACGCAAATAATTCTTCCAGAAAAAAAAAAGTAAGTTTCAAGGATACGGAGGTCCGGCTCGACAAGATGTCTAGCATGTTGTTCGAAGTTCTGAATTGGACTCATTTTTGAAGTTGCAGAGAGGGTTAAAACCCTAACTCTGCAGGTTCCTTCAAAGCAGAATTTTGACTTCTCCCCTGTTTCGCGCCCTTCTGTGTTTCTAGGGTTTCTGAAAGAAACGACTCGTGCAACTTCTAAACCTCCCGCTCTCTCTCGCTGTACTTCCTCTCTCTACTCTGCTTCCTTCGATAGCTCGAGAAGACTTCCTCTTTTATTTCATTGTTTTTACGAGAGAATTTGCACTCCCGCTCTTCCGGGGCGAGCGTGAAACGAACTACCATCGAAGCTGGCCCCTGTTCTTTTATAGGCGAGTGAGAGCATTTCTTTTGGGTATAATTCCCGAAACACCCTCAACTATAGGGTGTATCACTTAACTGTCCGAACTACGAAAAAATTGCAAATACCCGACCCGCCTCAATCTTTTCACTTATCACTCACCCAAATAAACACCTCGATTAGCACTGGGGTGTCAATTGGACCGGATTTGATCCAATCCGATACGGTCCAATATAAATCCACCAGGTTCAATCCAATCGAATGAATCTTTTGAATCATTTTGAACTAATTCAATTTAATTGTTGGACCATCCGTCCAATCTATTCAAATTTGTATTAATTCAAATTGGTTCCAACCAAACCTGGTCATTGATACATGTATTTTTATCCTCTATCAATGACAGATGTTGGTTCAATCCGACCAAATCCAATATAAAAGTTTACGGATTGACCAGGTCCAATATAATCCAATAAATATTTAAGACCGATAATCTGGACTGATTCAATTCAATGCCTTACTTGTCTGTCTAATCTATCTAAATTGATATTGATTTGGATGGGTGATAGGCCCAATCCAAAAAACAGTCCATTGAGACCCCTAATTAACACTACAATAATAAGATGATGGAAAGTATTTTCTTGCCTGATAGATGAACAACATCCAAGCCTTACCACAATTATACGGGGTCAACATGAACACTGTTTCGTCATTTGGTTCAGTTTAATGTTATAAGTATAGTTAATTATATGTACTTGAGTTAATGGAAAATTCTCGATTACTACCTTGCACTTTAGGCTTAATGTCACTTTGGTCCCATAACTTTAAAATGCAATAATTCAATACCTAAACTTTCAAAGCGAGCCAATCCAATACTTGTCGTTAATCAGCCATCAGTTGTGTATATCATGTAATGACGTGTGTAATTTAAAAATTTTGAACATGTCAAAATTATTATTCAAAACACTGTCCTCATGAATTAAGATTGAATCAAAGCAGTGGTGAACAGCCCCAAACCCACTCACTCACGGACAATGGTTCTTACCCAGCTTACAGAATAATGACGGATGGTAAAATTGGGTTTAGAAAATCTAAATGCCACGTGGTATCAAGTGTATGTGGATTTTGATGGAATATTGGCATATGTTAACGGCAAGGGTAGAGCTAGCCAATTGCCAAAAGTAGTAAGAGTGGTGCAAGATAATAGTTTAACAGTAAGAGTAGAGTTAACTAGTTAGTTAAACAATAAGTATAGTTTAAGAAATTTGCCCATAAACAAATTACTATTTGCTATTATTTTTGTTGAAGCCATATTATTAAAAATGAAGTTCCAAGATGTTAATATCACAAGTGATTATGGATGTCAAAAACAATCAGTTCCAATCAAGTAAAAACCAAATATGCTGATTACTATTTGGTCACATCCTGAGTCTATTTTGTGGAATTAGGGGTGTTAAAGGACCGGTTTTGGGTTGGATCTCATTTAAATTAAAATCAATTTGATACATCAATAAGACATATTGGATTTAACTAGTCCATACTTGATGGTCCAAAGTATTTATTGGATTGGATTGGACATGATCCACCTGTAATGGATTTATATTGGATTGGGTCAGATTGAACCAATATTTGGTCCATTAGTAGAAAACCAGAATACAAGTGCCTATACACTAGCTTTGGATTGGAACCAACCTAAGCTAAATTCAATTTGAACATATTGGACAGTCTAAACATTGAATTGGACTGGTTCAAAATATTCATCATAATGGAATGAAGCTAGTCCATCTGCAATGAACTCGTATTGGACTATATATCATATTAGACCAATTACACACTATATGGAACTAATTAATTATCGACTTGGAGCTGGTCTATCCTCTTGAACCGGGCCCAACCCATTGATAGTTATAGGAGGAGATGGTCTTGATAGTTCCCCGATCGAGGTCAACATTGTTATCTGCCGCTGCATTTATCTCCGTTACCATCAAGAAGCAATTGAGCTGCAATCCCCGACTCTCAATAAATTTTGCCAGACAATTTGTAGCTACTAATGTTAAAGCACATTAGGGCCTATTTGGGAGGGATGAGCTCAAGACGCTTTCTGGATTTTTCATCAAATATAGCTTCAGAAAAATCAAAATCCAATATGATTCAGCTATCCCAAACAGGCTGTTTAGTGCTGTTAGGAGGGCTTCAGCATTGATTGAGCTGCATTGAGGGAAGCACTCTGGAAAAGCTACTAAAGATATATTCACCCAAAGATCAATATTCATGTCTCATGTAGTAAATGTATTTTCAACTTTCCAAGGTATCGTTTGGCCCTCTAGATTTTTGGCCATTTTAAGTTTTGATGAGCTTTTTAGGGCATAGATCTCTCTAACATATTGTCTTCTATTACCAAGCAGAAAATGTCCAATTTTTGGTCTTCTAAGCTTTGAAAGGCCCGAAAGACTACACAGAAATACTTGCCAAACACCTCCCAAGTTTTTTAGCAAACACGACTACACACGGCTTTCCATGTTGGACCTACCTTCCAACTAAGAAGTCGCTGCTGAAAGCTACAGGTACACTCCCTAAAACCCACCCATTCCCAACAGTGGGTCAACATGGGTCAAGTGACCCATTAGGGTCAAGAGGGGAAAGGGTCAAGGTGGGGTGGATAAAGGGTACCCATAGGTCTACATTTATTAGATTTGGGGTTTATTAAAGCTTGACTCTCTCTCTCTCTCGTATCTTCATCTTCACTGAAAACCTCTGGTATTCTCTTGTTCAAACCTCCAAAGATGGTAATAACTTTTGTTCCTTCACGATTTTGCCTCCTTTAAAAGCTCCTTCAACCTTCAAAGCGAGCTCTCTTGTTGTTGCAACAGTGGACAAAGTTTTAGATCTGAATCTCATACAGCAACACCTCACCTCATTCAAAAGTTTATGAACGATTTTACCTGAAGATGAGTGGAATGTCTGTTTTTGGAGACAAACCACAATGATAATCAACATTTAAGACTTTTCCCTTTAGATCTGAAGCAAAACTCCAAATCGTCAACTTGAATACCCCAAAATCCCCGAGTTCGAGCTGTTGAAGCCTACAACTTTTACATACGAACCCCCAATATAGCCATTGAAGCTTGCTGATTTTACAATAAGCACTTTCCTTTCCCAAGTTATGTGTTTTTCGTTGAAATATATATTTTTTATTTTAATTTTCTCAGTTGTTTGCAATTTCTATTGTTAAGTTAGCTATACTTTCTTTTAACTTTGGTATCATTTTTTGTGTTTTTATGATTTCTAAATAGAACATTATTTAATTTTTGAATAAAATTGTTATGTTTTTTTTCTACAAATTTGTTAATATATAAAATATATATATTTTTTGTCTCTATGCTCCGTTTTGTTGGTTTTTTTATTCATTTTTTGCATTATATATATATATATATATATATATTGTGTTTTATGCAATTTCTATTTTTTGCATTTTTTATCTAATACAACTTTTTTGCATTTTTCTGAATTTTCTTGTAATTTCTTGCATTTTTTGTATTTTACTGCAATTTCTATATTTTTTTTACAATTTATGTTTTATAACTGTATTCATTTATTTACTATTCAATATGTTTTTTTTTGCATTTTCTTGTATTTTTTCAAATTTCTATGTTTTTTACAAGTTATCTTTTATACTTTTATTTTAAATATTATTATTTTCTATATTTGTTCTACGATTTGTCAATCTCTGATGTTTTACAAGAAATATATATTTGTTACCATTTTTGTTTTTTAGACGAAATATATAGTTCTCTGTTTTTATGCAATTATTATATCATAGAAAAAATAATAAAAAATGAATACTTAGTAGAAGCTATCCACCAAAAAATGGTTATCAATTACTTATCCACCAAAAAATGGTTATCAATTACAATCCATTCACAAATCCCCAATCGATTGACATTTCATGGCGGTTCAAAAATTGATGGATCATAAAGATATGTAACATGTGTTGTGAATAGACGTATTTTATGCACATGCTGATAACTTTGACAGACAATGTTCTAACTAAACCTAACCCGACAAAGCAGATATGGGTTAGAATTGACTTGGTTTGAACTTTGAAGATCCGATTGGATTAGGGAACGAGTTGAGGCCTTGAGGGCCTTGAGGCTTTAAATTTTAAAACATTGGATTGGGCGGAACCCGAATCAACCTGGCCCGAGTTGCATCTCCCCACATAAATCAGACTCGTTTCATCTCTCCAATTAAGCGGGCATTTTCCAACGTTAAGTACTTAAGTCGTTAATTGTTTTCTTTATTGCAGTGGAAGGAAATACTTGGTTTCTCTGTTGTGATTTTAAGAATATTGGCACCTCAATTAGTTGAGTAATATTGTTTTCATAAAAAAAAAAATACAAAAAACAAACAATCCATTTTAAAACTTTGACATTGCCAATCGGAGTCTAAAACCCGATTCAGCAAGATTTTAAGTAGAATAGTTGGTCCAGTTGACATTTTTACTCAATACTCGGTATTGGAAATCACTATCTTGTATGGGGTGCCAATGAATACAATTAGGAACCAGCACCACCACCTCCATCATAGTCCAAACTACATTTGCATCCCTAAAAAATATCCCATCCCATAAAAACAACTATTATAATATCACATCTCCGTGAAGTGTTAACACCTGTGAAGGTTTGATACTATTAGGGCTGTAAATGGATTAGTTCCACCCGACTACCTCAATAAAACCAAAGTGAGTATATCGGTTATGGTTTTATGATTTTGTTCCTACTAATAATTGGGTTAGTTCTAATTTTGCTTGTTCAAAAAGATTCAAACCTGAATCCATTATTTTTTTAATAATATCTAAATTTTTCTTAGTTTCCTTGTAAATTTTATTATACTTTATGTCTAAAAGGGTGATAACACAGTAATTTTCGTTAAAAGCACTTGTAATTTATTAACATATAAGTAATTTACTATTTTATTGTCATTTTATTAGATTATATTATCAAAAATCAAGTTTTAAGTTATCATTTACATAATTATAGATTTGAGTATAATTGGATTTAGGTCTAATTGGGACAGACCCGATTATCCCAAATAATATTTGGGACAATTTTGGGTCTATGGTTTTGCCTCGATTAATAATCAGTTTGGGGATATACAAGCTATCTCGAACCAGACCTGATCTGTTGGCAGCCCTAGTAACTATGGAGCATGGAACTGGGTCAAACAACTAACGCCTACTATGAAAGAAAAGTGAGTTCAACCTGATACTGAAAGACTAATAACCAATCAACCGGTATTGTAAAGGTGGTAATCAATCAGGTGGTATTCATCAAAATTCATTGGGGGTGTTTCAATTGATCAAAGTTCTTCCAGTACATTTCTGGTATTATGGATATACGGAGAAAAATATAGGTAAATTACAAGTAGGCACACTATACTTGAGGGGTGGTAATATTTAGCCCCCACCCCTGAAGTTCTAGATTCCATCACAATGTCCTTGGCCCACTGATGGCATTGACAATGAAATAAAATTGCTAAATTGCCCATTCAATATTCTAAGGATTCACAATAAATATCAAAATGATGAAAATAACCATTTTAAAGCATGAATTGTTCTCAAGGTTGTTTAAGAATTAATCATTCTTAAGTCATTCTCAAGATGAATTTTGTCAAAAGAAAGTTGAGAGAAACATGATATGTATAATACAAATATAAATATGTTTACCCCAAACAAAGCTATAGAAAAGCAAAGTAAAAAATGCAAAATGGCATCATTATGACATAATGGTAGTTTGGGGTTTTAATAATGTCAAATAAAATATTCTATGAAATTACCACATAGTATACCAATGATGAGGGCAAAGTGTTGGAATCCAAAAGTTTGGAGGGTCTTTGTGGCAAAACAGAAAGTTGAGGGAGCTAAGGCCATGTTTGAGAGTGCTTAAAAACTAGTGTTTATTTGGGCCAGAACCACACCGTTAAGCACTTATTGGTGTTTAGAAAATAAGCTCAAAATAAGTGTTTATTTAAAAAAAATGTTTATTTTTTAAGCCCAATTTTTCAGTTTTTTTGAGTGCTTATACAATAAGCACTTATTCAAATTTTTCTTCCAAAATGATCCCTAGTTAAATTTTAATATGCCACTTATAAAATTATTCCTAGTTGAATTTTATAAAAGTGCATTCATAAAAGTATTTTTATAAAAGTATATTCATAAAAGTATTTATTGGAGAAAAAGACTACCAAACACCTAATATGAAATAAGTACTTATTTTTTAAAATAAACACTTAAAAAAATTGGATGTCAAATGCAAATTAGTACTTATTTGACTAAGCACTTAGAGTTCCACCAAATCAATTTTTTGAACAAAACCAGACCATTGACTAGGTGAGTGAAAATATTGCAACCGAAAACTTTTTCGCTCCTTGCAACAGTGAAAACTTTCAACCAAACGGGAAATGACATTTCTTCCGCAATAAACTAGATGACATATGCATCTGAGTTATCTAGAACCAAGCAAATTCAGTCAGCTACTCAGCTCAGCTAGCTGACTTGAGCAAATATCGTCAAGAGTTCAATTTTAGTTGACAACCAAGAATCTCGCACACGCATTTCATCGAATAACTTGCAATATTTAATGGAGATGGAGAACCCACTTATAAGTAATTTTCCGATCTGTGGGCAACAGTCMGCCCCATTTGGTGTGTCTTTCTATGCGACTTGTTGGCTGTTTAGAAGTTTGGGAGTCTTTATTTCGGTCTTTTCTTGTTTATACCCCAAAAAGATGCATAAAGCCCGTTTTAGGCTATTTTTAGGAAGTTCTAAATGGAGTTTTTTGACTTTTTTTATTATATCTTTGTGCAGAAAGGCGCACTTTAACCAAACAGTCTTCAAACTGTTAGGATCTTAATGGAAATCTCACATCATCTTTTGACCATCAAGTCTGGCAGAAGATCTTTAAAAAAAGACTAGCCAAACAGCACCTTAGTTTTAGCATAACATGTTGTTTGACTTTTTGAAAAATCATACTGACAGTAATCTTGAGATGTATGGTTCAGAGTGGTCCAAAACTTGACATGTAGCATTAGTTAGGCATGAAAAACGATAGAATGAATTAAAATAATTTTTTGCAAAAATATTAATTTCTAATTATTATAAAGTACCAAAACTTGAGAAATCAGAAAAAATAATTTTGGAGGATAGGGGTGTCTGTCTAGAATAGGAGGATCCACATTGAGAGATAGATTTTAATTTTAGGCTCAGTTTGGAAAGAGTACAAATACAAATATATATAGTGCAAATGCATATAAAATAATACAAAATACAAGGTTTTGCACTTTACAAATTTGTATTTGTACTCCTTCCAAACTGAGCCTTAACATTTTTAGTGAAAAGAATAAAAGAAAGCCAACTCCTTGTGCAAATATAGGGAAGATTAGCGCTCAATTCATTTGGCTGGACCAACAACAAAAGCTCAAAAATGATCAGAAGGCAACTCTAAGTTAATGATGTAGACCAACTACATGGTTTTGCGATAGGTACATGGGACCAAGGTTCAAAATATCGATAAGCCCGATACGCTGGTATGGGCGTATCAGGCGAATCGATACAGGTTTTGATGCCTTCTTTTTTTTTATTTTTTTCGCAACCGGTTCAAGGGGGCCGGTTTAGGGCTCCTCCACCCCCTGAACCGGTCAGACCCTCGATACACCCACCGTAGGGGCGTATCAGAGGGGTCTCAGAACAATACGTATCGACCAATACAGGTCAATACGTGTTGATACTTTGAACCTTGCATGGGACTGACAACCCGCAGGCTACCAAGACACAAGAATGCCTAGAGCCTTTTTTACCAAAAGAGGAAAAATAAGTAAATGAAGTCATTTGACACAAATAACCCATGAAAACTTAGTTCAAGCACCAAAAACAGATATTCGTTTTGGCAATTGGCACCATGTTTGATTCACTTCTTTGGGCCTCATTCTCTTAATTCTTGCTCATTCTAGACAAGAATGAATAACATTAGAGTGTTTGGTTACAAAAGTCTTGCCAAGGGCCACATCATTTTTAGAATGAAAAATCAACTTCATAGCACAAATATTGAGTAGCTTGCAGCATGAAAAATAATCATGCCCCATCTTGCTCATTTCATTCTTTGAGGAAACTCTGCCTACAAAATTGTTGCCATAAATGTTAAATTTTGCAAAAGTACTTTTACATGAAAGCACTTTTATGAAAGTACTTTTTTTGGAAGTGCTTTTACAAAAGTACTTATATAAAAGCACTTTTGCGAAAGTACTTTTCAAAAGCACTTTTACGAAACCATTTTATAAAAGTACTTTACTAACACTTTTATGAAAGTACTTGTATAAAAACACTTTTATGAAAGCACTTTTATAAAAGGACTTTTACAAAAGCACTTTTATGGAAATACTTTTACGGAAGCACTTTTATGGAAGTACTTTTACAAAAACACTTTTAAGAAAGTATTTTTACTTTTGCGAAAGTACTTTTACAAAACATCTATGCCAAGTGGTAAACATTGACTATTGGAGACCTAGGCTAGAAGTTTGTGAATATCGACAGCATTCTTTTTTTTTTTTTTTTGAAGAATGAAAATGAGCAACATAAGGACATTTGTTAGTATGGCAAGAATTCACTTTCAAGAAAAAGTGTTTGGTTCATAGCAATATTTTCTCATTCTGCCTATTTTTACCAATTCTTTTCCATTTTAGAAATTCATCTTGGGTAAGAATGAGAAAGAATGAGCTACAGACAAATTACAAAAAATCCTTCCGCAATAACAAACTAACCTCAACTTCAGCACACATACATATATGCAACCACTCCCATGTATTGCCCCTCGCACCTCTCACTGCCGATAAGAAAAGAATGAAAAATTTTGCACATATTTCTGAAATGACGAGACTGATATAGCAGGGAAGTTGGATGAATAACTGGGCAATGAAGAAACAAGGCCAAACAAGCTCCTGAATATCCTTCTCTACATAATGAACCCTCTCATTCTTGTTTTTCCAGCTCCCCCATTCTCTCTATGATTGCCTGCAAGGTTTAACAATACATTCGATGACTTTATATAATTCCACATTATTCAAAATTATCACTCCAACTTGGAAAATATAATGCTGCCATAGACCCAGGGGTACATAAAGCCTAAAACAAGCTTTTGACTTTGGAGCCATTAAGTCATTGATCAAAAGTGGAAATAAGTTATACTGGCTCTAGTCGCATGGCAATTACATCCCAAGGTTACAGCATGATTTACCCTTCACAAATAATGAAAGTAAATTGTTTTTTTTTTTTTTTTGGATGACTAAAGGTGTTTTCGACAACATGGTTGTTTTTGAAGGCCCCTAACAAACATATATATATATATATATAAATTAATTTAGAGAAATGAAAAGCCTGTATACGTACAAGTGCTGTGTCTAGTCTAGAGGTAAGGAGTCATATCTCTACCCTTTAAGTTTCCTTTTATATTTCTTACAACTGAGCCCAAAACATTTGTTCCCTCTCCACCTCTTACTTTGCTAAAGCATCAGCCTAGCTATTAGCTTCCCTTGGAATCCACTTAACTCTCACCTTCAGATTTCTAGTTAACCATTTTAACTTTTTAACTTCATTACTGTAGCACCATAAAACATCCTCTTTCTTTTGCAGCCACCCTACCACCAATTTTGAATCTCCTTCGATAACCAGCTTCTCCATGTTCATCCCCATTGCCCCATTCAATCCTTCCATCGCATCCAACACTTCAACCTTTAAAGAGTCTCCTGCATCAATCAAGACCCACAAAGCCACAATATTCCCTTCTTCATTCCTGAAAATCCCCTCTCCCCTCCTGATAACCCTGGGTTACCCCTATTTCTACCATCAAAGTCGGAATTAACCTAAATTGTTGCTCTTGCATTATCAAGCAGTACGGATTTTTAGAAGTAAAACAAACAACTCCATACTAGTGAATACTGGAAAAAAGCTTAAATACCTTCTTGCTTGTTTCTTGAAGCTCCCCAGCAAGAATGAATTCATCGAGTATCAAATAAACCTGCCAAAGACATGGAGAAAAATAAACAAAAGAAATTAGCTGATGAAAGAACAAAAAAGTAGACAAATTGTTTACATGTCAGAAAGATGTCAGTAATAGATCCAATATAATTCTTAGTAAAAAGATAAGATATTCCAATTAGAAAAATGTAAAGAATGTCAGCATCCATGTTGCCCAGATGTGGAGAAGACACCACCAGGAAACAAAACATTTTCTTAACTAGATTGAATGAATGGGGAAGCTCATTGTGACCTCATAATGAGAACAGGCAAAATTGATGTGTTCTGATTTCCAAATTGGCATCTTATAGTCCTTTGGGTATGCATGTCCTATATGTTGTAACAAATACAGGCATGTGCCATGAAAGGCAACAAAGTCAAAGGCCCTTGTTTCACCATACAGTGTATATTCACCCAAAATTCTGTTATGGACACACCGACCGGCAGCGCACTACGGCGCAGTCATAGGCAGCAGCACGCGCAGCAGGCCGCACAGCAGCACGCACCGCCTGGCAGCACGCAGCACGCACCGCCCGGCAGCATGCAGCATGCAGCACACACCGCACGGTGGCAGCACCGCGAGATGCGCGCACCGCCCGGCAGCAGCAGTAGGGCGGGGCCCACATGACAGCTCATCAGGGTGGGTCCACACTTATCTTATCACATCAACTCTGCTCACCAACTCACCGTCAACTTCACCATCCCTTATCCCTTATCTTATCTTATCCTTATCTTATCTTAAGTAAGAGTTGTGTTACTATTAGGAGTAGGTAATTAGGAGTTTGAGTTTGACTTGGATTACCCTAGCCTAGCCGAATCCAACAAGGAATTACCTTCTGTAATCTCCTATTTAAGGAGCTACGAATTGAAATAAAGCATTCAGTTTTCCAGTCAAGAAAAGAGTGAGGAGAGTTCGGGTGGTCTCTTGGACAAATCACCCATTCGGTTTCCCACAATAGGGTTCTGCACGCAAGGGAAGGCGCAAGGGAAAGCAAGGCTTTCTCCCCGTGGACTGACCCGTGACAAGATCCTATTCCCGGGCCCATAACAACTTGGTATCATAGCCAAACGTCACGGGCGATATGGAGCAGCTATCATCCAAGGTCAACGAACTGGAACATAGGCCAGCAGAAACCAGCATGGAGGTTCGTGAAGTCAAGGAAGATGTCCGGGAGCTGCGACGCCGCCTGGAAGCATTCCTCTCCAACAAAGAAAGAAGTTCTGAGGGAATCGCCAACACAAACAATCGCCGTCCGGACTGGGTAGAGGCATCCAACGAACAGCAGATCGCTGCCCCTACAGCCGCAATTATTCCCAAGGATCAGCGCACGGAGGATGAAACTGTAAGGTCTCCTCCTTTGGCCGGGGACAATGTCACGAACATTATATTGGTACTTGCAGAATGCGCTCCTTTGTCGAAGATAGGTGGGCTTGCCGATGTTGCTGGGGCTTTACCGAAGGTTTTGGCTCGGCGTGGACATAGAGTTATGGTTGTGGCACCACGGTATGGTAACTATGCAGAAGCCCAAGAAACAGGAGTGCGCAAGAAATATAAGGTGGATGGGCAGGATATGGAGGTAACTTCCTTTCAAGCTTATATTGATGGCATGGATTTTGTGTTCATGGACAACCCTATGTTTCGCAATATTGAGAAAAATATATATGGGGGAGGCCGAGAGGATATTTTAAAACGCATGGTTCTCTTCGGTAAGGCTACTCTTGAGGTTCTCTTCTGTAAGTATACCCGGTGCGTTCCTGTGATCCACAACATAGCACACCGGGGTCGTGGTCCAGTACGCGATTTTCGTTATGTGGATCTTCCACAAAACTACTTCAAACTACATGACCCAGGAGGTGGGGAACACTTCAATGTCCTTGCAGCTGGCCTGAGAGCAGCAGATCGTGTAGTCACTGTAAGCCATGGTTACGCTTGGGAGCTGAAAACTAAAGAAGGTGGCTGGGGTCTGCATCAAATAATAAATGAGTGTGATTGGAAGCTGAAGGGCATCATGAATGGGATTGATTCAAACGAAGGGAACCCACAGTTAGATGTTTACCTGGCATCGGATGGCTACACCAATTACTCTGCGGAGACTCTTCAGACTGGCAAGCCTCAATGCAAAGCAACTCTACAAAGGGAGCTTGGTCTTCCTCTTCAGGAGAATGTTCCTCTGATTGGGTTCATTGGCAGGCTTGACCATCAGAAGGGTGTTGATCTCGTTGCTGAGTCCATTCCTTGGATGGTGGACTAGGATGTGCAACTAGTCATGTTGGGCACTGGGAGACCTGATCGGGAACAGCTCCTCAAACATTTTGAGAGTCAACACCATGACAAAGTCAGGGGTTGGGTTGGTTTCTTTGTGAAAATGGCCCATCGAATAACTGCTGGTGCAGACATCCTACTCATGCCTTCTAGATTTGAGCCATGTGGACTAAACCAGCTTTATGCACTGAGCTACGGGGCAGTCCCTGTTGTTCATGCTGTTGGTGAACTGAGAGATAGTGTGCAGCCGTTTGAACCATTGGCAGAGTTCCAAGCCACGTATCCGGAATTCAAGCTTGAGGACAAGCTCGTTGTCCAGGAGGGGTATGATGTTATGGACACACCGATCGACAGCGCACTGCGGCGCAGTCATAGGCAGTAGCACGCGCAGCAGGTCGCACAACAGCAGGCACCGCCCGGCAGCGCCGCATAGCAGCACGCAGCACGCACCGCACGACAGCAGCACCGCGAGACGTGCGCACCGCCCGACAGCAGCAGTAGGGCGGGGCCCACATGACATCTCATCAGGGTGGGTCCACACTTATCTTACCACATCAGCTCTGCTCACCAACTCGCCGCCAGCTTCACCATCCCTTATCCCTTATCTTATCTTAAGTAAGAGTTGTGTTACTATTAGGAGTAGGTAATTAGGAGTTTGAGTTAGATTACCCTAGCCTAACCGAATCCAACAAGGAATTCCCTTATGTAATCTCCTATTTAAGGAGCTACGAGTTGAAATAAAGCATTCAGTTTTCCAGTCAAGAAAAGAGTGAGGAGAGTTCGGGTGGTCTCTTGGACAAATCACCCATTTGGTTTCCCACAATAGGGTCTGCACGCAAGGGAAGGCGCAAGGGAAAGCAGGGCTTTCTCCCCGTGGACCGACCCGTGACGAGATCCTATTCCCGGGCCCATAACAAAGTCCCAGACTAAGTTGATCGATCTTTTTCTTTGTACTAGTGGAAACAGAGAAACACTTAAAATGTTGTATCTTGTTGTTGTTGTTGTTGTTTCGTTTTCTGTATTTAAATTACTTTATCAATTACAAATGGAAGATACACATGCATGCGTGCAAGCATTCAGCCACATGTGCATGAAATTCAATAGTTTTTTAAGTCCAAGGTCACATTAGAACAAGTTCAGGATGTACTACACTCATTACAGTACTGCATGGTATTTATTGCCTATGCCCTAATTTCTCCAAAGGGTCAAGTTCTATTATTTCAACATTAAGACTTAAAATGCTTACAACCTAGTTTTTTTTTTCCTTGGTGCATACAATCTAGTGATTTAATACTAAGCAAGAAAGCCCCTTCCACTTGAACAGATAAAAGAGAAGCACTCAGTGCAAAGCAACAGGAGTAGCACAAAGCCACAAACCTTGTGAAAATTGAACACCAAATCCAGCTCACACACATTGCTAAAGAAATGGTCCAAGATCTCCACAAACAAATGGATGCACTCCAAGTATGCTAGCTCATTATCTGTGATGTCGACACACATTGAGAAAAACAGTCCAGCATAACGCCTGTAGATGATCTTGTGTGTACGAAACTGCAAGAATAAGATTTACTCAAACTTAATGGTATCTTAGAAGAAATTCAAAAAAAAAATTGTTTGATAGTTAACTGAGGTATTTTTTGCATCGTGTAAAAGTAAGATATTTACAAATGCATCATCATCATCATCTAAATCTTATCCCAACTATATGGGGTAGGCCGCATGAACCCTGTTTCGCCAATCCATTCTATTTAATGCCATATCCATTGTTAAATTATGAGAGCTTAAATCATTTCATGCTACTTCAACCCATGTCCTTTTTGTCTAACCCTAGCCCTTCTATCCCCTTCAAGGCTTCAACTTGTAATAGATCACTTGTTCTTACAAGTGTTGTAAGTGGTCTTCTATGCACTTGACCACACCATCTTGGTATACTTTCTCACATTTTATCACCTATGGGGGGTATTCCTAGACTTTATTTCTGATCATATCCTTCTAGTTTTTTTCAGTCATCCATCTTAGCATATGCAATTTTTCCACACTCATTTTTTTTAGAATATTGTTTTTTGACTGCCCAACATTCTGTGGGTGGCATCCTCCTCAATCTCTCCCTTGTTATGAATTATTGATCCAAGGTAGCAGAAAAGGTCATATTGAGTTATCCCTTAGTTCCAACCTAAGTGTACAAATGTATCGTACATCCCAATATAGGTTGGAATGCTCCACCTATCCCGTTTTACACTAAACTTTACACTTGAGCTCAAAAGAACTGATCCCTTTTCATCCCTTGTTTGGCTAAGGGCTAAAACATCATCCAACCCATTTGCCAACCTTAATGCAAGAAAGATATACTCAAATTCATGATGTCTTAGTTAGCATGGGAAAAAAGAAACCCTTCATGATGTCTTAAGTAAATTCCAACAGGAGCATGAATCAGAACCTTGGTAACATTGTTGAATAAATCATCATCCAAGCCTTATCCCGACCATATGGGGTAGGATACATAAATCCTATTTTGCCATTCTGTTCTGTTTAATTCCATATCCATTACTAAATCGTGAGTGCTTATATATGCTATTACTTTAGAGGCAAATATGGGGCCATCTATTGTAAAAGAGGGAATCCATCAAATGATCAGTGGTAAAAAGGAGACAATTCTAAACAATGTTGCATAGGCATAACCAAAAAAGAACATACGTACATTTTTTTTTTCTGTTAAGTACTATTAAATACACTGTTAGAAAACAACAACAAAATTAAAGAATTCATAATTTGTGTTAGTATAACAATGTACAGTAGTGACTAAATATAGAAAGAGATTCACCACTCTATTCCATTTGTATTACATGAATGCAGATAGGAAATTGATAGGTATGAACACAAATCCACGTTCTTAAGCTAAATAAAACCATGTGAATCAATGTGATTTACAATGTACTAATGACCATGAAACATCAAAAAATAGCGAAAATTATTTTTTGGAAATAGTGAACCAACATGGGATCATATTTTCCATCAAGTAATAATGTAGGTGTTGCAATCTGCAAACAAAGGTACTTGTTTTAGCATCATCAGGGAAGAATTTAACAAAATGTAGCTCCTAAGGATTGCATTATTTGGAGATAAAATAACCAACACAGAACCTACCCAGTTGGTGAACTTTCACTCAATCAACTACATTTTTTCCTATAAAAATTTTGGTATGATAAAATAAAACTAAATAAATAAAATACTAAATTAACAATTCACAATATAACTTCATAAGAAGATACAAAAGCTGGAACCTAAACATTATAGGCATCACATCTTAATCCAAGAATTGTCAATGGATTACTGGATTTAGTGCAGAGTTTCTAGCAGATTCACACAAGTTTTTATTGTTTATTTCTAATTACACACTAATTCATCTGGCACAATAATTCCAGGTCACTGCTCTAGTCAAACGAAAAATCACAGGATTGTTATTAATTATTCTTTAAAAAGAAAAAAAAAAAGATGAAAAAAGTGCATACCTCCACAAAATTGGTAAATTTTGGATCCCTATTGACAACCAGCCGATGGACCTGAAAAGGAATCAAACACGGACCCCTGAATAGTTTTAGTAACTTCTTTTCGTATCAATGAAGACTTCAGAAAGAATTAGAAGGAAAAAGTCAACCAAAATGGTTAATGAACAATCAATACAATCCTACCTCGTACTCGACTTTGTGCTTCTCAGATTCCTCAAGAGGAACATAATACTTGGCAAGACGGGTCTTGCCCTGCCTGTTCTGGAGCAATATAAATCGGATCTGTCATTAAAGAGAAACAGAGCAGAATTTGAGACCTTTAAAAGCTTCTGAAAATCCCCTCCACAACCAAAAAGAACGGAATCGGGATTACCATTTCTGAGAAACAGACGGAAAAGGCAAAAACAACAACAGATGCCTGCAGCCTGCAGCGGACGAAGATCTAGGGCACGGAAGAAGAGCAAAGTTGACTATGGTTCTTATTTTGTTTGGTTTGGTCTCCTCTGTCAACGAAAACTCGTCACGCGCCTGCGCCTGACTATGGTCCGGAAAATCAATGTTGGCATGGATCGAATCATCGAATGGTTCTCTGATCAAGATATCAAGTCAATGCATTTACGGTCCAGAACCTCGGCTGGTGCATCCAACGGTTGATTTTAGTTTCAACAAGTTCCCTTCATGTTTCGGTTGAGTACATGTAAACCGAAGGAAAACGAATTTTCCCGAAAACGGCTGTTTTGTGGTGTTTGGTTGTAAATAAATTATAAAATGGGTGTGGCAATAAACAATTCCCCCTCCCCCCCCGCCCCCCGCGTTTGGATGCATGTAAAACAGAGGAAAATTAAATCATATACCTAATTTTTCTGTTATTTCACACAACTTGGAAAATAAATCTGACGCTGAAAAAATTAACAGCCGAGCTGAAAATTTGACTTCATGGTAAGGCCTGTTCGTTTGCTTTAAATCTGACATCTGAAAGTGTAATAATTACATTAAGAGATATATTAGTACTGGTGAATTTTTTTTTCTCTTAATTCTAAATGTAGAGAATGTTGCTCTTAATTATGAAAATGATCAAATATCCATTTTGCCCCCATATATGAGAGGTTTTGTTTGTCTTTTTGGAAGTATCATTGGAAAACAAAAAAGTTGTATGATTGAACTTTTAAGAAATAAGAGATAAGAATAAACGAATAACCAATTTTCTCTTAAAGTTAAAAGATTACTCTTAAGAGATAAGAGTTAAGAGGAAACGAACAAACCCTTAGTAATTTCTTTAGAGCCACTCAGTCTATACAACTCAATCAATGTTGAAACCMTCCCAAATGGGTCAAAAGTCATTCTATTATACCAACAAAGAGTATACAATTCCACAAATTTAGTATTGTGTCCTAAGTGGAGGGGCACCAAATGGCCATCTTGTCAAATGGATCATGGGCCATGGTGGGATCCAGTCTCATGGTGAGAAGTACGGTGTTAGATTTAGCATGTGTTTGATTCCGTTTATGTTTATTGAATAAATGTTTGTACTTTATTTGCTGGTAAAACCGAAAAATGCAATAGTTGCAACCGTTTATGACAAATAGGCGCCACTTCAGTGTAATAGTGAATAAACGCTTGGCCGATTGTGGAAACTTCAAAATATAACTTCTACAAACGGTTGGCATGCACATAAACCAAAATTTACTTTTTACATTTTCAATGTATGCAGCAGAGCAAGAGAGAGAAAACGATGAGATGGCACGCCTATGTGGCACCACCAATAAACGTAAACGGAACCAAACACCCTCTTAGTTGGTAGAGGGTTGGAATGTGTTTTGTTGGTAGAAGATCTCAACTATGCATGACTGGGCCAAGAGAATGGGATTGGCCTGTTAAGCAGATGGGTCGACTCCAAAATATGAAAATAATTTACCTATCAAAAGGACAAACCATTTTATGTTGTTTTCACTCTTAAGTCTAGATAAACCATTGTTTCTTTTCATGCTTTACTAGTTTGATTGAGCCTTCCATCCAATGAATACTGAACACAGTATCCATTGTAATCAATCATCACTCACATGGATCAATAACAACAATGGCCACTGTAATAGTTGCAACTTGCAAGCATTGTAATGGTAAGGAAGGTCTACCTTCATGAATGGCCTTGCTGTTGTTTCCAAACAGTGCAATATGCTAGAACCCATTGGATTCAAATCCACATAACACTCGATTCGCCTTTCTGTACATAATACACGCTCTGGTTGGATAGAAAACCAAATTTCAGAAATGCATTTCTTCTTGGCTTCTATAGGAGCAGCCTGAATTACATACACACTTCTCTTTCATATGTACATATTGAAGTTTCAGTTTGCTACTATAGAGGTGTGTCCTGCTTTAACCCATTTATTGGATTCGAATCCACTTAAATGTGCAACCATGCAATTACAAGATATCAAACTTTGCTGAACATGAACTCATGAATGAACTCACTGCATTATATTTCATTCTGTCTCAGTGGTAATTTATTGATGCTGTGCCTGATCAATTTCCAAAAGAATTTTGCTTGACAAGAAAAAAATGCATGGAAAACAATGAAAAGTAATACTTTATTTAATGACTTAGTTAATATTTGCACCTAGAATTAGTGTCCGTATTTGGAGTTTGAGGCAGCCAAAAGAGCTGCTCCAATTCCAGATCCATCTTTTGAGTGCTCTATGATTACATTCTTTGATATTTCAGACCCTAGAAGCTCTGTGACCGCATCTTGGAGATAGCTTCTATACTGAGGATAGTGCTCATACAAGCCTCCATCCATTGCCACCACTGTCCTTTTCCCAAAGACTACACCTTTGGAATCTTCTTCCATCTTTTGGAGAATGCCCACAATTCCTGCTCCAGCCAACCGCCCACCCCGCTTCACGATGGTGTCACAGACTTCCAAGACAACTTTCCTGGCATTTAAATTCGAAGCCACCTATTTGACAACCATAATATCCCATAATCAGTACATGTCTTAATGTAAGTATGTAGCTAGAGTCATAAAACTGAGGTAACTGTTTAGATTTACCCCAATGGTGTTGTTTAAGATCAATCCAACTGCTTCTAAATCATCAGAGCTGTCTTGTTGCATGGCACAAAGGTCGGGAGTCCTATATAGCAACATCAGTAAAATAGAGAGTTGGTGTAAGGAGGAACTTTGGCAATTCAACAGAGAATTAACCATAAGGAGAATAAGAAATTGTCACATAGTGGTTTTCATGCTTATATAATTTGGAGGTTCTTTTTTATTTGTTAAAATGTAAAAGAGTTGAAAATAAGATTTTATGGTCTTTTACTCCTTTTACATCAAAATAAACACACCTTAAAGGAATTTATAAAATTCAATGAGGACTTTATTATTATTTATTTATTTTTTAAACTCTGCGATTTAAACATGAAAACATGTTTCTGGTGTGGAAGGTTATCAACAAAAAATCAGGAAATATAAGAAGCAGCATTTTATAAAAAGTAGAGGAAATTTTAGCTTAAAGACTGGTGACCATGGATAGACAGCCTGCCATACTTTGTTATTGCGAAGGAAAAATAAAACATTTCCTTCTTAAGTTTTCTTTTGGTTTCTAAATCTACCACCAAAAACATATAATTGAATTTAAAATCCTAAGTTGTTGGCATTTTCATCAAATCAGATAATAGAACCATGTGGAGAGTAATGTATTTGATAAGCTCATAATGAATAAAACTAGTCGCCACTCCATTTTCTTCTTATATGGGTGGCTGTAATTGTTTAGCATCAGTCCCTTGGGCCCTGCCTTGACCTAATTCTCAAATAGACTTTGAAAGGACAGTGTGTCCTCTAAACTCATATCACTGTACACCAAAAAAATGACTTGCCCAATATAGAAGCAGAGAAAAGAAAAAGGAAATAAAGAAACAACTTGCAATAAATCCCTAACAAACTTTTTCATTTTGGATTGTTAGGAATTCTTTATATTAATCCGTTACCTCATTTCGCCTATATGAATGTAGTTAGTCAATTCTTGATCAATCTTTAAACAGGGTACATAAATTTGTGAAGAGTCTCCCAGTGTAGAAAATGAAACAAAACAAGTAAATAAAATATAGAAAAAATAGCATGAACCTTTGTATCCTTTTTTTAACTTTATGGTTAATAAATTCTTGATTTAACTTCTAACTATCATTACAGTAATGTCTATTTGATCATTAGTCAATTAAAATTTTATTCTTTACATGTGAAGCAATCTAACTTACCTGCCTCATATCAGGCTAGCATTTCCTGTTCATTCTAATAGAGGGGACCTCTTACATTTTATGTCCATTATTTAAGACCATGTATAAAGCACGTCCCTTCCTGCTTGTGGTATATAAAATATATGGTTCATTGGGAAAACAATTGGATGTGAATGCCACTGCCACATTAGATATGCGAGATATATATACGTTACTAACAATATAATAGAAAATCTAAGAATAATTATTAGTCACTAAAGGTTATTAAGTATGCCTTGTTTTAATTATCAGTTCCACAAAGATAATTATTTTATAGATTATTAATTATTACCTTACCACCTGTTATCTAATAGGGTGACTGTGTGATAGTTTTCCCTAGTAAAGGAAACAAGTCATCCACACAAGAAGTCAATTGTGACACTTGACAATATTATTCTGGTGAAACTGTTACAATGTGTCAAGAACTGGCTCTCTGATTTATGACTTCTCAAGACAAAACCAAGAACAACTTTCTTCTACTTGCTACAGCTGAATAATGCTGGTTATTCAAGGCTGACAGACATGCAATAGTGGTTTGCAAGTAACAAGCAACTTGACTCCAGTTGCATTTAATCTTGAGTGACAGAAGTCAACAATATGATACGATTCATCCGGATCCGCTAGATGATAATACTAACAAGTTATCCTCAAATAGAGTGAAATACTTTAGAAACTTACCTCAGTATGAAAGGTTTGGAGAATTTTTCTGGGATAGCATCACCAAATAAATCATCAGCTTTTGCCATCTTGTAAAGAATCCTTCTTACAATTTCACCAAGGTACATACCAGAGATTGTCTTCTCAAATATCTGTATTTTTAAAGAAGTCAAAACCATTAAGGTGGTGTCCTCTAATACGAATGATTTTGTTTTTTAAAACAAAACAACTGCCACATAAATAAAAACAACAAAAACAAAATCATGCACATTGGTGAACAGTCCTTATCTAAATTAGGCAAACTAGGAACATTAAGACTCAGAACATAACTTTTACCTGCTCACCAGGATTAATGCTTGCAGCGTCCATATCTCTGTCAAACTCTGTTAAAGGAAGCCCATTTGAAAATGCTCCCCACTCAGTATTGATAATCTGGGAGAAAATTCATCAAACAAAAGTTGAAGTTGAAAAAATCATTGAATGACCAAACCTCTAAGATGCGATAAACTGATGCTTTATCACAACCAGAACCAAGTAAGGCATGCATCGGGATGATCCAATACCCTTTGATATTATAGCATGACTCAATGGTCATATCAACTCAGTTGAATTGGCATAGTTGTTCCAACTGGGAAATGTTCTAATCCTGGCTATGGACTTCCTTGCAGATATACTGAAGGAAAAAAATTGCATACTCACAGTTCTTCTAGAATTCAGTGTCTGATCTGGCAGCTTTGGAATAGCATCCATCCGTTCCACATAGCATGCATTAGTTCCAGTGCCCAAAATAACAGCAACCATGGCATCATCATCCCAATACCTTGCTCCAGCAAGTGTTCCAACAGTATCATTGACCTGTGTTACAGGAAGTGGAATATATTGGCCTTTCTATGCATGGTTGAGTACTGGCCATTCTACCCAATGCTAACATGGTTAAAACTCACCAGGGCAGAAACTCTCATGTTTAATTCCTGCCTTTCCATAGCTTCATTCAAGCAAGCAACTACATCTTTTCCTGCCTGTCAAAAAAGGGAACCTATCTATCAGTTACATGGCAATAGAAGTTACAGTTCAGGAATATTAATTGAAATTCTAGCCATGAAAGAAAGCTAAAGTGACCTTGGCCACAAACATAATTGCAATTTTTTAGTGGATGACTGTAATCAAAATGGTAGATATAGCATCGTTTGAAATGCTAAGAACTCAATACTTTTGGTGTTTGGCCTCAAAAGGTATCACAGAACATTGCAACAATTAACCTCATGGGAATCCACTAAAACTTCATCAACCATTTGGAGCAGAGTTTCTCATCAAGTTGGCACATAAAATTTAAAATTTATTTTTATTCCCTACACAACTAGTTCATAAATCATGCTTCCTTGTACCCCATTCTTTTTTTTTGGTAAAATTCCTTATATTCCATTCAGAATAACTAATTATTGTGAATTCATAACCCATCAGGGATTTCTGTATTCTACTATAAGCAATGTAGCTAGATTTCTGTATTCTACTATTAAGTATTGGCACCTTTTCAGTTGTAAATAACACTAGGATCTAATTTTTTACTGCTACAAGTCCTCAATTTTCTTGTAATGCTACCATAAACAGATTTACCATGGCACACAATTAATATCAAGTATAACACTAAAAAAGGTTCAGAAAGCCATACTATGGCCCGATTGATTATTCATTTATATACATAACTATAAAGTTAGAATTACCAACMGTTCCAGAGACAGCGAAACCCTTGGTCCACTTGATTAATATGCCGGAATCAATGGATGTTTGTTTCACAGGAAAAGAAAATGTAAAACCAATCTCTCTTTTCCTCCCATGGGGCAGGCAGAATCTCCCACCTTCCTTTTCTACAAATCTCGCCAGCCGAGAGGCAATAAAATCGAACAACTCCTGCAGTTTAAAAAGCAAAATCTGCTAAAGGAAAAGGGAAAAAAGAAATCTGAACATGGAAAACAAGCAGAACAAAATGGCAAAGTACTGACCTCAGAGGTGCCAAACATCAGCTCTTCAGGAATCGATACTTGCTCAAATTCAGTGTCAATAACACGCTCCTCCTTTCCTCCTAATTGCACTCGTAACACCCGGAAGTTTGTACCACCAAGATCCAAAGCGTAAAACAAGCCCTTTTCGTTCCTTTTTTTTAATCCAAATAAAAAAAAAGTCGAAACAACATCACCATCAGATCTCTAACAAGTCGGAAATGCATCTCTCTTGGGTTTAGAGAAAGAAAACAAATTAGATCACTAATTTGTTAGCACTGAGAGCCAAGCTTTATCAAATTCGAATCTACCTCTACCATTTCTTGTCTTTCACAATTTATAAAACAATGTATTTTCTTGATCTTTCTTCGCAGGGAAGTCCTTTTATTCACTAAATTACAAGTATTGCTTGTTTTGTTTTCTATAAATCCTGACTTGCCTATAATCTTGTATTGCAGAGATTAAAATTACAAATCTTCTTTAAGATTCAATCGCAGAATAAGAAAGCAAAGAACTACAAGCACCAATATTAATAAAATTACAGATCTTCTTTCATAATTCAAGGAAAAAGATCCATCATGAAAAACTTAACTCTAAGAGGAGCAGAGAGGAAATAACTTGAACAAGAAAGAATGCACTCCAACAGTCTAACATACCCAGTGGGCAAACTATTAACGTAGCTGAGTATCATCTTAAGATCACTGCCGCCCTCAACGGCAAGCCCAGCTCGCATATCAGCAGCCATGGCGTCTGCAACGTGGCGCAAAACAGGTAGAGGCGTGGCGCAGTTCTTTTGTAGATCGGCAAGGATCGGGGTTACTGAGATGCCGCTAGATCGCAAGGCCATCCTTGGCCGGAGCCTTCCTGTCGGAGAGCGTGTGGGGGAGAAAGACCCCACGATGGTTGAAGTTGCAGCGATCGACATTGTAGCAGGTAGTTACAACCTATGGAAGAGAATGGACAGAGAAGAGAGAAGAGAGAAGAGAAGAGTAAAGAGAAAGTCTTTGAAAGTGACGTTGAAACTGAGAAAAAATTGTAAGGTTCCTCCTCATTTTTCCTCATTAAGGAAAAAGAAGTTAAATTTCAGTTAACGGATTCAGATTTTTACCGGTTTATTTCCCACTTTCTTCTCTCAATTTTTTTTTTTTTTTGAAATTCAGTACCACCGTCAGGACTCTGGAGGGGATTGAGCTTTGAAGTTCGAAACAGGGGACGATTGTGACAGCTCTGTTCTGTTCTTGTAATGTCCGAATCTAACCCAAGAAGGTGGTGGGGACGAGTTGCGCTCTTGATCTCAGCTCGACCTTGTCGCAAGCGGTTATCCTGAGTTTCCAAGGAGGCGACCTCTCTGCCGATTTCGCGGCTGAAGCCCAGAGGAATTGCAATTCAGCGCAAGAAGTATACTCTTATTACGATTTTTCAAGCTTTCTGTGATTCATTTTTTGTTGCGTTGGTACGTGATCTCACTGAAACCTAATGACAAATGTAGAATCACCAAATTGTTGTTTCTAGTTTCTACTTTTTACAGTCAAAAATTCAAAATCTCCTGTAAAAATGAAAAATTAGTTCTACTTTTATGATTTATATCCTATTTCGATAAATTTTTACCAACAACTATTGATTTTTTTTTTTAGAAAAAGCACGATCAAGCTTACCAAAAGAAATCAAGCGCCTGTATAAACTTTGCTAGCCACGATTACAGTCTAGAGATGAGCAGTTCTGTTATTCTTTGTATTTAATGGTAAAAAGAAACATTAATCTGCCAAGTTCTAAGTATATATAAATACTACGAATTAATACATGCATCCCGAAACAGTTGGACGACCCCCAAATGTCACCTAAGTGATGATTTAGAGTCCTACATCGTAGTTCGTCTTCGCTTCGACCTCACGATCTCTCTTTATCGTTGATTTAGCGACCTCGACCATAACTTAGGTCGGCTTGCAGCATCTCGTCCATGGTCGATTTGTAGCACCTCGTCACCGACCGAAGTAACCTCGATGTAAGGCATGACCTCTCTCGAGGGCTTATCGATCTAACTGAGGACCAGGCGGTGACCTGCGAGATGTGCTCGCCAATAAATTCGGCACGCATACCTCGACACTCCTAAGTTTCTTTGAAGTTGGCCCACGCACTGAATGTTCCGGAGGATGGTCAACGTGCATAGTGGTTACCTTCGAGGATTTCGGACCGGTAAGGCACAACCTCCCGAAAATCTCGGATGCAGTGCGCGAAACCTACACCAAACAATGCCTATATAAAGGCACCAACCGCAATGACACAGGGTACGCGTGATTATTCTACTCACTAGCACTCAAGTTCTCAAGCATTCAGCTCGCATTCACAGCATAAGTACTAAGCATCAGAGCGACCTTGCCAAGTTAGCTACCCCGGGTTCTCTGATCCATTGTTTTGTAGAATGATCCAACTCGTTATACGACTAAGGTCCAAATCATCTTCCAGCTAAGAGCTTCTAGATCATGCATCATCAGTACCCTTTCTAGATTTTTTTTTTGTCTTAAAAAGAATAGTCTATGTATAACCTTCCTCTAAGATCTAAATCATTCCATACTCAAATTTGTGTATTGCATATTTGCATGTATGGATACTTTTAATTTTAGAAGGAATTCCGATTAATCCTATTGCATATTTGCATGTATCGATATTTTTTAATTTTAGAAGGAATTCCGGTTAATCCTATGCTGCGATTATATATAAATATTCCCTTTATATGAAAGAGAATAGAAGGAATTCCGATTAATCCTATATATCTCCAACTCTCCATTTTCTTTCATATAAAGGGATCACTTCATTTTATTTCCTATCCTATTTTTTCAAAAACAAATAAGACGGTCAAATCAAAATCATAAAAAATAAATTCAGCTTATTTATCATGTTTTTTAAAATCGGATTGGATCAGATGGTTGAATCGGAAAAAACTGGGAACTGGTCAGGTGATTCGTTCCATTCTACTCTAGAACCATTATTTTGTCAAAAACCATTGATTTAGTCAATAAACCGCAGATCTAGGCAATCGAACCATTCAAACCGTCCAATGATTTGACCATTTATTTATTTATTTTTTGTTAAAATGAACTGTCCATTCGATTTAAACGATTGGACTGTTTGACCCGAAAACCGGACCCCTGACCAATTCAGTTTTAAAAACCTTGCTATTTACAATCCATGCATTTACGCCAATGCAAATGCAATTCGCACTAGAACCAAACTGAGCCTAAAAGGAAACTCTGTTTGGATCATTAAAGGGAGGTGGGTTTTATTTTGCCTTAATTTTGCAAAAGTTATATATTAAATCCGAATCCTAGGTAATGTTTTAGAGGATAGCTAAATGGGACCATCTGATGAACCAACTAAGGCCTGCTCGTTGGTGTATTAACTGATTTGTTCCAGCGTTTGTACGGAATCGAATCCTCTAACCAGGGGTAAGGAGGGTAGTTATTAATGGTGCATGGCACCGTATACCAAAAAAATCTGATGTATGTTTTTTTTTCTATTTTTGGTATGTTATACTCGTTTCAAAGTAAATGTTATAAAGTCATTTGTAAATCAAAATCTGGTAGATTTTTCATGTGTTTGGTTCTGTTTATGTTTATTGAGTAAACTGTGTCATATAGGCACTCCATCAACAACAGCCTCACTAATTGTTTTTATATGCCTCTTCCATTTCAGGAAGTTTCATTTTGGAGCTTAGGTAGGTATTTATTGGCACTTTGCTGATGTATAATAGTTTTTCTTGGTTTTGCAGCCACACAAGTACAAAGCGTTTATTCAATAAATGCAAATGGAACCAAATACCCTCTTTGTATATATAATTAAGATGCCCTTTTACATAGAATTGTCAATGTTGGATCTACCCGATAGAACAAAACCGACCATACCAATTATGTTGGTTTCCTAATTAATAATTGATTGAATCTTGCTGTTCTAAACCAATAAAGACCTCAATTGATTTTAAGCAGTATTTTTAATTTGCTATTTATCCAGTTGGGTGAACTATTTGAATCATCATCTAGTCGAGATTTTGGGTATGGTTTTAATAGAATTTGGAAATTGGTCAAAATTGTTGATCTAGTCAAAACTGTATAACCTGGGCGGTTGGGCCTTCAATCTGTTTGACCCTACGGCCAGGTCATGGGTTGCATACTAGATGTGTATGCAAACTTCTGGAAGCCATAACTTTGCGCTTCGATGTTTGATTGGGGTGAAAAAAAGCTTTTTTGGCCTCAAATCACAATTTTTTATATTTTTATAAATAAAAAAATTAAAATTAAAAAACATAAATTAAATATAAAAAATACATATATTACATGTAAAAATATAATTATATATTATTTATTAATAAAATACATGTTTATACATACCTATACACACATACATATTATTGATGTGACATGGTCTGAACTGGATGGTCGAAGCATGACCCACAACCTAGAGGCAAAAATGGTTCAACCTTCATGTTGGTTTTAAAACACTAATTATAAGGTCCCCTGATTTTTTTATAATTTTTGTTCTATTTTATGTTTACAATAATAAATTTCATAGACAAAATATAAGATAAATTTAATTAAGGTTATATTAGCAAAAATAAAGTATTAAGTTGTTATTATCATAAACACTTAAGTAATTATAGATGTTAAATATACCAAGTTTGGTGATCTGGTCAAACCCAATTGAGTTTGGATTTCTTGCTAATAAAATATGTTCCAACACCCAACCAACATGATCGGACTCCACACATTTTGAGTCTGTATCACCTGCCAATAGAACACATTCCAACCCTTTACCAACATGATCTCACACTGCACATCTCATACATGGTAGGTTCCACTTTTATGGTGGGTCATAGTCTCATGGTGAGATGTGTGGTGTTAGGTCAAGTTGGCATCTGTTTGGCATCGTTGTCGTTGCTCTAGAAAGTGGTGACACATCAGTGCCACAGCGTAAAAAATGATACTCTAGGAAACACTTGTTTATTTGGAACCATTTTTTTTATAAAAAACGGTGCTCTAAGTCACGCCTTAAAAAGTGAGAAGGCGTGGTTTGGAGTAACGCTAAATTTGGCGTTTCCTAGAGCTACAGTTTGTTGCTGCCAAAAAGGACATGAGGTGGCAGTGACAGAGACATAACGTGGCACTAGATAATAGGTACCGATGCTGAAAATGTTTCCTAAAGCATTGGTACCAAACAAAAAACGTTGCTGTTGCTCCAGGAAATGTCCTACCTAGCAGTAATGTTTCCAAACAAAAAAGGCACCGTTTTCTGAGAAGACGGTGCTTCCAACCCACATATCAGCAGCACCGTTTTCTCAGCATCGATGCCAAACATATACTTGGTAGAGGGTTGGAACGTGACTTATTGGCAGAACCCAATTTATGAGTTCGGCTTTAGTAAGGGCAAAGCCCATTCGAACAGCCTTTATTGCCTTGCATTGAGGAGATCGACTTCAGTCAGAGCAAAGCCTGTTCGAACAGCCTTTACAACCTTTCATCGGGAATATTTTCGTACTTTTGTGCTTTATTTCATGGGGAGATATTCCCAATGCAAGGCATTGATGGCTGTTCGAATGRTCTTTGCTCCGATTGAATCCGGTCTCTGCATTGAGAATATCTCCATACTTGTATGTTTTATTTCATAGAGAAATATTCCCAATACAAGGTTGCAAAATGCTGTTAGAACGGTGTGGGCACAAATTTGCCCTGATAGAAGCCGATTTGCCAATTTATACGTCTCATACATGACAGGTCCCATTTTTATAGTGGGTCCCAATATCTTGGTGAGATGTGTAGTGTGAGATAGGTTGGTTGGGTGTTGGAACGTATTTTGTTGGCAGGAGATCCCAGCAACTCGACCCTATTGCCCCAATTAATAATTGGTTGGGTTATGGGTGGTCTAATCTTGTAGAACACAGGAACCGATCGATGATTAATAATCAATCCATGACTGATCCATCCCCGTTCTCAACCAATTCCAATCCGTTTACGGCTCTACTTTTACATGTGCTGATCCGTCGATCACTTCTTTTAAGGCCGGGGAAGAATGAGCAAAGTGCTTTGCATTGACAGCCAACTTTAGAACTTAGCAAAGAATCTAAGCCCAAAGGACAGATGGGAAGAGAGCAGAGAACCTCAGAACCATAGACAGCATAGCTTAAAAAGCCAAATGAAAAAAAAAAAAAGAATATCGATTTCCGTCGGGCTTAGGTAACAAGTCTCTCTCTCTCCCACAGCACCTGTTCCCTGTTGGTGTTAAAAGTAGGCCCTCCGATATGTGGAATCGAGACCGTTTACCGACCGACTTCACCTTCAGTTAACAGAATTCCAGTGAAGTGGACGCGAAGAAACGAAGCCCATGATTCTATTTTGCCCCCTTACCCACATCACTAAGCTCCCACTTCTAACGACCCCTCCCTCTCTTCCTCTCTCTCGTCAACATATAAATAAAACCACCGATATCGCCATCTCCATTCTCTATCTCTCTGAGATAGTTGATGTTACAGTGACCAAGGACGGTCCTCTCTGTGCATCATTCATATGGCAGCGAACATGGAGAGCGAAGAGGGAGTGGTGGTGATCAGGCGGGCAGAGATCGATACGAGAGCACCATTTAGCTCTGTTAAGGAGGCCGTCATGTTGTTTGGAGAGAAAGTTTTAGCAGGGGAGGTCTATGGCAACAAGCTCAAAGGGGTAAAACACCAAAAACTCCTTAAATCAACCTTTACGCTTAACTAGTTTCAATTACTATATATCATGATTCATTGATTACTACACTCATTAAATACAATTGTGAATTTGTGATAGCGTTACTTGATGTCCATTTAATTCAATCCTTGCTCATACAGTGTGCTCCGTTCTTTGTAACAACTTTTCTTTTTCCTCTTCCTTCCCAAAACCCAATGAAATATAACACTTGGTGGTTTTGGTCGTAGGATTGGCCATTTCTGTTGATCTTCTTTTTCTTCTTCTTCTTCATATCCATTTGATCAAGCCAACTTGAGCTCACCTGCCATGAACCCAACAACAACATTCAGCCAATTTCAGGTCTGGGCTGGATTGAGATGTGTAAAATGTTATCCATAGTTTCTTCTACCTTAATACAAGCTTTCTTGTGGCAGAGCTCTGTACTTAATTTGTGATAGAAAAGTTATTGGGCCTTCCTTTATCATGTGATCTACAATCTACATCATGTGGTCCAACTTCCTTTTGTCTTTCACATAAATACCAGATGGTAAGTACTTTTCTAGAAGGTTTAATTGTACTTTAGCAAAGAATCAATGTCTTTGTCTGGCTTTGGATGAAAGAGACGCCAACCCACGTTACTTTGTTAGATGAAACACTTTTCTATCCTTGTAAGTTACGAGGAAATGTAACTTATTGGATCATGCACCCACATCAGGAAAGCAGTTTGAGTTTGGTTTGCCACTTCTTGACCCGAATTTTCAATATCAAATAATAGGCGAACTGGGTTCAGGCTAGTTTTCCTGACCCGCCCGTTTATACCAGGCCTGCAACTTAAACGGGCCTGGGTTGTTTAAAATTTAAAGGGCCCCAGGTCCAGGCCCAGGCCCATGCCCGATACAATGGAAATTCTTGATTTTGTTCATTCTTCTTTTAGCTTTCATGATCAGTCTCTTGGCAATGAACATGAACAATTTCCAAAATTTGAAATGAAAGCCCACACTGACAAATGAGTTTTCTTCTACGAGTATTTAATTACGAATGGTCTTTGTTAAGATGCATGATGGAGCAAGTGAGAGTGGTCATGGCCAATCAAGGCTTGGAACTGTCACGGCAGAGCTGGAGGAGACGAAGCAGAACCTCCAGAAAGCAAGAGAAGAAGGAATTCTAATGGCGACCTGCCTTTCATCCCTGAAAGAAGAGCTGGAACAGACAAGGAGAGAGCTGGAACAATTGAAGGCCAAGGAGTCCGAGAAGCCGCCCATCTACTTGGAAATGGAAGACCTCAAGTTTGTGGAAAATGCGACCAGGGTTGAAGTTGATACAGTACCACCACCAAGGAGAAAAGAAGAAGGAACAGAGTTCCACAAGAAGAGATATGTTAAGTTCGCCAACCCTCCTTCTTCAGTGGCTCATGTTATGGTCCCGGAGGTTGATCAAATACTGGAGAGACACCCATCTTTGAAGAAGAAGAAGAAGAAGCCATTGATCCCTTTAATAGGTGGTATTTTCTCTAAGAAGAAGGGAACCCAAGAAGGTGCATCGCCCAAAGCTCCACGCCCTTAATTAAGTACATAGGTATACTGGGGAAAAAGATTCAGGAAAAAGAGAAGAAGAGAAGAAACTCCAATAATTCTTCCATGGGAGAAATATTTTCTTTTCTTTTTTTCTCTTTTGCTATTACTATTTTGTTTTTTTTTTTTGATTAATTAGAGGATGGTTTACTTTAGATGGCCATAGTTTGGACTCAGAATGGGCCTTAGAAGTTAGAATGTACGCGAATATCCATGTTCACATGAAAGACGAGAAACTCGTTCAATAAAGTATGCTGCTACTGCAGAGTGCAGACAAGCTTCTTCTTCTACTTCTTCTTCTTCTTCTCCTGTGCGCGGGTCCTGGCTTGATTCACTGACTTAACTGGGCCTATAAACGTATTTCAAAAAGACCATCAGCTCATGGGCCCGCCTTTGTCCATCTCCAAGGCTCGACTATTCACTAATTACAATCAAAATCATCTGACAACTATGGATGTGGGTATGCATTTGCAAAATATAATAGTTCTATAGATCAAGCGGTTGTGAAATTGTGATCAAGAAATTTCCGAAATAAAATGAGCGGGAGAATATTGGAGAAATACACTCATGGAATAGCAGCATTACATTCTTTTTCTTTCCAGCTTAACAAGTTTACATACACAAAGATAACAAACAAAGGAAGCAAGCATTGAAGAACTAAGTAGTCCAAACTAAGCTCACACTTCTCAACCACTGTAAATAAAAATTAGGCATTGATTTGAATATCGTGATCAGTCATGAACATGCATTGTTTCAAACAAGTGAATCAGATTTTCTGCCACCCGCGATCCCCTCCTGTGATGATCTATTGAAGAACTCTATGCAGTCGGCAATGGCTTCGTGGTAATGCGAATTTGGCGAATAGTGATACGAGCTGAAGGATGTCTTTGGAGATTCAAATCGGTCTCCTGCACCTGCAGCAGCTCTTTGACGACGACGAACTCTAGAAGATGCCTGGGATGGGAAGGGATAAACGACGAAACACATTAGAATTTTCCGAAAGCGATCAAAGAGCTTCATGGCGGAGAGGTTCAGCTTTGACGAAACCCTAGCGTTGGGGACTTGAGCTTCACCCCTTATTTGTATGACAAAGCTCTCCCTTTGAGGCCTTCGCATCTCTATGAAACAAATTCTATCTGGGAACTGTAAGCCTGTGTAACGTTATCATGTCTGCCATCTGTTTATGAGGATATAAAACGAGGGAGGTTTTCCAAGCTGAATTAATTCTTAATTTCTTCATTAATTATATGAGAATGGAATAATTAGAAGACAAAACCCATATGCCCAAATCATTAATGCAGGCTTTACTTGTTCTTTCCCAACAGTTTGTTTACTAGCATTGTGGGTCATCTTCAATTAAAAGTCATAGAAGCTGATCTGCTTTGTCCCAGGATAACTAGTTGGGAATCTKAACCAAACTCTAGGTTTTATTAATTAAAGGAGTTGTTTGGATTAACCTTCTGGAAAGTTCTCTCTTTCTGTGAAGAAGCATTTGATTTTATCATTAGATATTGCATCATAAACTATTTGAGGTTATTATGAATTCAAAGGTCATCCATAAGCTTAGTCTCAGTTTGGAAGGAGTACAAATGCAAATATGTAAAGTATAAAACCATGTATTTTGTATGTATTTGTAATGTTTTTGTTGTTTTGGATTGATCAATGCAAATTCGTAAGATGTGATAATTTGAAACATTTTGGATTGATAGAAGTGACTCCCAATGTGATAATTTATGTTTCTCATCAAATTGTATTGTGTTTTAAGAGAGCAAGTGATTCCAAACGAATGGAAAACAAATGAAATGGAAAAGATAGATGAAAAAACGAATGAGTAGGAGAAAAAGAAGCATATATACAAAAAAAATTTTAACATAGAAAACCCTTTTAAACTTGAAAGGAAAAAAACAAATGACACTAGTTGGGGAAGCTTCAATTATCTCTTTCAATGGTGCGATGGAATTACAGCCTCTTTGATCTCTAATAGAGGATAATGTAGCAAGAAGATGAATTATTCTTCTTTTCTGTTGCAGAGGCTAAATAGTTGTCTCAAAACAAATCTAAATAGTTGATACAACCTGTTCTAAAAGAATGAGAAATATAAATAAATGGAGGACAGGAGGGTGACAGTCTATATATCTTCCAATGCTTCAATCATTGAAGAGTTGTGAGGTCCTCGAAAAATCAAGAGTCACGGGCTTACGGAATACCAAAAGGCAGGCCCAAAGAAGATAACAAGGTTAGGAGGAAAAGCTTGGTTATTTGTGAAGACAAAGGGATGAGACCGTCTTCTGATATGGCTGCAAGTCGAGCCGGGTTAGGTCAGGTTGAGGCCAATCCTACTTCAACCCTAAGTTCTAACCCCTCAACTCTAATCTTAACTCAACCCGACTAACTCAATCCAACCTTAATCCTAACTAAATTCCTTCAACTCTAACTCAACCCAATCCAATTGTCTTCTCATCTCTTAAAACTTCATAGAATTTATCGATTTTAGAACTTAACTCAACTTTCACTACATATATTAATCCTATGTTTCATTAGTATTTGTTTGTTGACGTGTTTTTTTTTTGTTCTTTTAGTACAAAATTTAGAAAAACAAGTGTTACACATGACTATAGTTTATTATGAGTTATGACTTATGATAGGTTTTTTATGATCAAAAGACAACAAAGAAGAGATGAAGAAAAAAATTTTCAAAAGACATAAAATAATGTTATTAAGATTTTAGTCTTTCTCATTAGGATTAAGTGAAGTGATTATTTTAAAAGAAATACATGATACTATGTGGTGGGGGTTACACAAATATCATGCATCTAAATAAATCAATGTATGTTATATATTACATATAACATATATTTATATATGACATGTACTATAGAGTCGGGTCGGGTTGCCTAAGGAGTCAACCCTAATCCAACCCGAAGTAAAGTCGGGTTCATGAATTTCAACCATAATCCTAACCCGAGCATCAACCCGACCTGACCTGACCTGGCCCAACTTTTTTTGAGTTGGGTTAGGGTTGGGTTTAGGCCAACCCGACCCAAGTTGTAGCCTTATCATTTGAGGGGCTGTGGAAGTTACCATCCCACGTAAAGGTGTCAATTGACCGGTTTTGGGTTGGACCCCGTCCAGTCTAAAATCAATTTGGACGGATTGGGCGGACCAACAAGACATATTGGATTGGACCAATTCGGTCCAAAATATTTATTGGGTTGGATTGGACTTGGTCCATCCGTAACAAATTTGTATCGGATTGGGTTGGATTAAGCCAATATCTAATCTATTGATACAAGATAAGAATATGTGTCAATGGACCAGGTTTGAGTTGAAATCAATCTAAATCAAAATGAACTTGAACAGATTGGATAGTCCCGAAATTGAATTGGACCGGTTTAAATTGTTCCAAAACATTCATTAGATTAGATTGGACTTGGTCCATTTATAATGGACTCACATTGAATTGGATCAGATTGGACCAAATCCAGTCCAATTGATAGCCCTTATCCCACGAGGTTGTGGGGCTGCCATTCTGCAGGGTTGCGAGGTTTTAAGGCCGTGGATCAGCAAAGCTGCAAAGCCATCAGATTGCGAGACTAAGAACAACAATTCATCTTTCACATGAGGAGAGAAATCAAATATATTGATCAATCAAAATTTGAGGTAAAAACATCAATTGTACTAAACACAACCTATATTTCATAATATTAAATAGGGAAAATTCCCGATAGGTACCCTGTACTTTAGGCTGAGTGCCAATTTAGTACCCGAACTTTAAAATGTGACAATCTAGTACTCGAACTTTCGAAATGCGATAATCTATTACCTGCTATTAACCAGCCGTTAAATGTAATGGAAAAAGACATAAATACCCTTCAAGTGTCATTTAATTATCTTTGTCAACTTCCTATTAACCAAACCAAGACTAGATTTCCTACACTCGTTTAGTATGCGTCAAGGTGCACTTCTAATGAGATTGGAACACGTTGATGTTCCATTTCTTCTTCTTTCTCCTTTGTTCCTCCCCTCCTCCCTCCTCCCTCCTCCCTCCTCTGAGAGAGTTTTCTACGTGGGCTATGGAATCATTATAAATACAAATAGTCAATCTGAGAAATGTTGCTTTGATGTCCTAAGCTTTCTTTGTGGGCTATGGGCTATGGGGGCGGTTCATTAGAAATACAAATAGTCAAACAGCAAGCCATTAGAAATACAAATAGAAAACTCAGGTTCTGACGAAGAATAAAGCTCAGGACATCAACTGAGGGGCGTTTGACTAACTGTGTCAAGAAGAAAACTGCAGTTTGTATTTCTAATGGCTTGCGTTTGACTAACTGCGTCAACTGAGGGGTGGTTCTGACGAAGCGCCTTGATGTTCCGAGGGGCGGTTCATTACAGAGAGTTTTCTTCTTCGTCAACTGCAAGCCCTTTCTGCTGCCTTCTTGTCCTGCTTCCTTGACATCATGCATCAAGTGTAGGACAACTGAACACAACCGATACAAGTGTAGGACCGGACCTCCATCTTCTTCCTCGTCTGCGTTCTCTTCCGCCTCATCTTCTACCTCCAGATTCTCAGGATTCAAGACTTTGCCCAAGTGTTCCTTTGTTCTATTTCATGGGCAACGAGCGCCCTTTTTTCACTTTCCTCTTCCACAGTTCCTGTTCCGCCTCCGCCGTAGTTTTCTTTCTCTCTCTTGATCAGGAGCGTTGAGTGGGCCATGGTGGCAGCTACGGTGGTGAACTGAGAACAACACCCCTCCTGCTGGCCAGCGACGAACCCTGGCTCTTGTGTTTTCATTGGTCTGGACTGTTGAGAGTTTGGCTTGGGCTCTGATTCATTTTTTTGAGAAAGAAGGATGAACAATGTGTTTTATTTTTAAGGGTAATTTTGATATTTTCAAAAATATTAAATCACACGTGAGGTCACATGACATGATATACATAACTGACGGTCTATACTAACTTGTCGCATTTCAAAAGTTTGGATAGTAGATTGTCACATTTTAAATTTTAGATACTAAATTGACACTCAACCTAAATTACAAGGTACCTATGGAGAATTTTCACTATTAAATATTGATGGAAGTCTCTCTTTTGTGGATTCTGGAACTGATGGAGGAGAACATAATACCAAGAAACTTCTCTTGATCCGTCGATCTGGAGATCTTCGGAATTTGTCGCAGGTTAATATAAATATATAATGCTTTTAGCAAATTAATGCAACTCCTACTGTGTAATGATTTTCGTTGATATTGTAGTCTTCTATTCGTTTTACTTTCACGAGACATGATTCACT